TGACCTTAGAACTGAAGAAGCTTCTCGGATGAGAGGTGAAACGTCTTCAAGTAACTTAAAGAAGTCCAGACGCTTTTCTTTGCAAGCTCCTTTGGAAACTTCTGTATGTTAAAAACATTTCTGGCTATTTGAATACAAGTTTTGAGAGTTCACAGGGTGTACCTGAATGTGCCGCGATGTTTCACAGGCCGGGCTCTGCTTACAAACTCACATTGACTTCAGAGTGCACTTTAACACACTGCTAGCTTATTTTTTTTTAAAGGTATGCCATTGTTTAACAGAGCCATGGAGCAATGCCAAGCACTTAGAAAATACCAAAAAACAAAACACAACTGTCAGGTCTAGCTGCCTTGCATGACTGTCGAGCTTGAGAAAGAGAGAGAGTTTCATACAGGAATTTGCATACAGCAGAGGTTTTCCTGTACCTTTCAAGAGCATATTTGGTAGTGTAGTTGCACCGACACAAAAATAACCATTAGAAATAATGAATGAGCAAAGCTCGTCTCCAGGTTAGATGTGTTTGAGCATGTTGTACAATTAAAGAAAAAAAGGACACTCAAGATAAATTTGATGTGCCTCAGCTTTTTATCTCTTACCTCACAAGTTTCTAAGCATGCTGCAAGAGAGAGAGTTTTTTGGAAATCAGATACTGTGGGAAATGTTTAGAGAAAACATGTTTACGCAAAGTCTGGTAATCTGGACGCCTTATCTGATGGTGCAGTGGTCCAATGAGTTATCTGATCAAGATTCAGAGTAGTTGCTGTTTTCAATTTATGAAAATGTCCTTGTGATGAAAGGGCACACCTGTGTCTTTTATTTTACACAATAAAATGTTATGCTTTGATAGCATTTTCTTCAAAAATGTAAAACAAGCTGTTACATGCACACGGTCCAGTGTGGGTGTCTTTGGGGAACCTACTTTCTCGGTCCTCTCCGCAACATTCCTCCAGGTGTAGAGGTTTCGCACACGCACGTGATTGGAAGCAGGCGACGGGACGTTGCCCGATCGTTGCCGAGCGATGACCGCTTCCAGACCGGCGCACAATGAACGGACGGTGGGTTCACACAGGGTAATCAAACCCTCAGGTAACACCTCTGGAATGCCTCCCACACGAGTGCTAACCACCTAAGAAAACAGAGACAAAAAACAGATGCTGACAAACACATACACACACGCAAAAAAGAGAGAACAGAAAAACAGAAGTTTTCCTGAAGTATAAAATATGTCATGGAATGATTATTAGCAAAATTCCACTGTGTGTGTTTGGCCTCAAGCTAAAACTAGCACCACAGCTCTGTGGACACCTGAAAAAGGAAGCTCTGCTGTACCTGGAACCTCAAACAGTGATGTCAGGGTGTACCCACTTTCATATCACTATGGTAACGTGACAATTTCAGTCAAAGATGTACAAAGTTATAAAGATTAGGAGTCATGGAAAATGAAATGCTAGCCACTTTATTAGGTACACCTGTTCAGCTGCTTGTTATAGCAAATATCTGATCAGCCAAAAAGAGGAAAATATTCCGTGCTCTGGAGTTCTCCGGGAGAAAATGCCTTGTTGATGTCAGAGGTCAGAGGACCTCTATCCTGCCTTGCATCAACAGTGCAGACTAATGTCGGGGTATTTTCTTGGCCCCTGAGGACCAGCTGAGCACTGATCTTAACTGAGTACTGTTGGTAATCATGTCAATTACTTCATGACCACAGCATGCCCACATTATCATGGGTGCTTCCAGTAGGATAACACACAGTATCACAAAGCTCAAATCATCTCGAACTGGTTTCTTGAACATCACAATTAGCTCAAGTGGACTGAGCTTTGAGATTTGAAGGTAAGGGAGGTTCCCATTGTGGATGTCCAGCTGTGTGATGCTATCATGACAGCTGCACGTCCACCATCCATTTCTGTGCCATGAAGAATTTAGGCAGTTCTGAAGGCAAAACAGTGTCTAACCCTGTACCTGCGAGGTGTACCTAATAAAGTGTCTGGTAAGTTTATATGACAGCAATCAACATCCAAAAGCTTCCCAAATAAACTCCACTTTACTGGAATATTACTAACAAAATAAAGTTAGAGTAAAGAATTCCATGTTTACAAACTGAATTGTCTTTAAAAACATTTTTATTGATAGATTAATTATTGATTGAGCTCAAGGTGTTAAAGATAAATGTGTATATAGGTATTTTTGTAAATATACACATCCAACAGCATTCACACTTTACACTATAAGTTGCTGCATTGTGCTTGTCTCCTTTCTTGCCCTGTGTTATGGCACAGTTCAACTTATGTTCAACTTTATGTCCAACCTACGTGTCCCAATAAATCACAGATAAAGAGTGGTTACTCAATGCGTCTTCCCATAAGCAATTATTTTTTGTGTAATCTCTGTACGCATATCTGTGTAAGAATCTGCAGAAAAGGGTATAACTCATCATACAGTCTGACTAAGAAAGTAAGAAGAAATTACGTTATTAAATGCCACCTGCGTGTGTTTCCCCGTTTTTTTCCCCATAGTTATGAAACCTGAGGATTCCCTCTAGTAGGAAAGAATAACAAACGGGCTTGTTTGTTAGCTCGAAGGCATTTTCATCCCAAAAGAAATTAAGCTCCCAATGTAATTTCTTTTGGAAATAACCTGGAGGTAAGAGGATTCTCTCATGGATTCTCAGGTTACTTTTTTCCATCTGTAGGTCTAACGTCACGAAATAACAAGAATGACATTTCCAGTTTCTGTTCCTCCAGCGATAAACCACATTAAGTTCCACTGTGATGCGGTTAGCTGGCATTTGCCACTCTTACATAAAGGTCTATCCTCCCTTTCCCATGTCTCCCTCATGTACTTCAGTTTTTTTTAAGCAGCGGTATGAGATGAGCTGCACACGCCCACGGCGAATCTGCCACAAGAACACTTCAGCATCTTCAACTGAGTTGTGCCGGCTCCGCTTGGCCGAATGGGCTTTCACAGAGCTGCTTCTGTGATCTGAAAGTGCCTCGTCTTGATAAAGTCTAATTTTCATTATTACATTATTATATATTCTACAAAAAACGAAAAGTTTATCTGCATTTTTTTGCTTAGATTTGTGACATGAACTGAGCTTAAGGTCTAAAGATTCAGTGTTAGATCTGTCGCCCCTCGGATGACTACTGGGGGCAACTTAGGTCACATATTGGCCTGTTTCCAATAAAATGACTGGCTGTGCATCAGAAGATGTCATTATCTTAAGAGATTGGCACGCTAAATGGTAAGTAAACGAGATGTTAAAATTGATACTATGATAAAGCTAGAGGGAAATATTGCACCATGTAATGACAAGCATGTACAAGTTTACCCCCACAATCTAATAACATCATGTAGCTAATCTGGTTAAACCATCCTTCAGGTTGTGGCATGTTTTTAGCAGCAAGATGTGCCCTCTCCCATTTGTATTAAAGAAATATTCTCAAATGTTTGGTGTGTTTATCTCAAAAAAGCTGTTTCACTTAAAGTGAAATAAGGAAATCCTGACACCGAGAGTCACTGCTACCGGACTTCATATCATTGACCTTGTGTATCAATGACTGTCAGACAGCAGCTAACCGCATCACAGTGGAACTTAACGTGGTTTATGGCTGGAGGAACAGAAACTGCAGCAAACCTGCAGTCCACAGCTGGCTCCTTCCACAATGGCCATGCAGAACGCTTCAGTGAGCGACGTGTTGAGGAAGATGTGGCCTTGAACCAAAACCCCACGCACATCTTTGTGCTCCAGAGCGCCCAGCAGACGTACCCTGTGCAGATCAAAACACAGTGGTAGCACCTTTACTCAGGAACCCAGTGATTGACCCTGGGTTTATCTACTAATCTACAATCATTTCCAAGTGTTGAATAAACGTAAAGGAAACACAAAACAATGGCAGTAAATTCCAGTTAATTAAATTCTATAACAGTGTTGGTTCTTTAATATACTACAGAAAGTTTCTTTATATGAGATTTGCTCCTGTGGTAAGAAAAGTAAACTAAAGCTGTAATACAGACACGATTTAATATACAAATACTTAGACATGCTTTAATAGATCCTGAAAGATGTCGACATCATTATCTCAGGAAATAAGCGCATCCAGCAGTACCTGTCATGTAGTTGGTATTTCTCCCTCACTTCCTCCAGAACAATTCTCTTTGGTCCCTCTCCGCCAATCAGGAAGTGGAGGTCAGGATGTTTGAGACAAAGCTCCGGGATTATTCCACCAAGAAGATCAATTCCTGCAAAGAAGGAAAGAAAGTGAAGACTTCCTTCCACTATTAGAGTGATGCAGTTCTCTACTGAACTTCATATGGAAAGCAAAGGCAATGGCTATTTTAGTTACATAGTACATTTCATTACATGTAACCTTGAGGTTCTTAACATAGAAGGTAAATACATCAAAATAAGAGTAAGTCTATAATATCTTAAGACAGTGAAAACAACAAACTTTACAAAGAGATAAAGTCCAAGTTTCTTTCACACACACACACACACACACACACACACACACACACACACACACACACACACACACACACACACACACACACACACACAATAAGCCCGTGCTTTTGTTTGTCAGCACAGATGCAAGCCATCTTGGGTCAGCAGGCACCTTGTTCCAAAGAACACATCTACAGTAACGGTAAGTTTTCTTGGCATGCTTTGATCTTCTTCTGAGAACAGTTAAAAGATCTACGCCTGATGACCTGAGAGATCTAGGTGTAGTGTAACTTATTGCACTGGGAGGCCAAACCGGTGTGAGTTTTATGAACCAATAAAAGGATTTTTCAGGTAATTCTGCATTAAAATTGGATGCAGTTGTTCACATTAACCCAAACAACCATCTGCCTCACTCAGCCGCTCCGGAACAACAAATTCTTCCCTGATGACGGGACTGTGTTTAGTCTCTCTGCCCCTACCCTTGAAGGACACATGCGTCGGCTGAGGACTGTTGACTTTTGCTTAAGCGGGTGAACACAGGATACACACACACACACACACGCACACACACACGCACACACACACACACGCGCGCGCGCACACACACGCGCGCACACACACACACACAGATGTACACTCATTACCCTACACCATTCCAGACACCCCAGATGCTTGCTGCCCACCTGATATAGACAGCAGGTCTGTCCAGCGACTGCAGGACAAGACGACTGCTGTCTGCACCGGATCATTCCTTACCCCATACCCTCCCCCCGTTGCATGTCACGTCCTTTTACATGGTGTAAGATGTGAATATTCATGTACTTTTTTGTGCTGGTGTTTTTTTTTTTTACTGTCCTCAAACTGGTCTCCCAGTAAGGAGCCCAGTTTGAGTAGAGTTCTTTTTTTTTCTCCCCTTGTCCCTGACTTGTATACTTTCACTGTTTTCTTTTTGGCGCGGCCACATCTGCAGCCTGATTCTGATTCGTCTCTGTTCAGTTCTAAAACATTTTGAGAAATCCAGAAGTTAATGTCATCAACAAAGCTCACTGGTTTATGAACAGAAGTAAATGATAGGAGCAACTGTATCATCTATGCAAGACTGACAGGATGTATTATGCTTTTTTATGAAAGTGCCAAGTGGGAGCACTAAGAATTAAAGAGTAATGGACCGAGAACTGATCCTTGAGGAACCCCGCTTGAATTTTTATTTCTGTATCTCTAAAACTATTAAGTGAAACAGAGATACATATACTGTGCTCTTTAAGCCCAGGTTTGATTGCACATTTTTCTTTCCAAGGATGCTTTTCCTGAACTAGCAGAGCTTCCAGCATGTTTTACAAATGACTGTTTCTCTCTCCTGCCCATCTTCAAACATAATAACAATGATTTTAACTAAAAATGTCAAATTTGGATCCTTCACCCATAAGAGCTGCTGACACTAATTTGCAGTCCAGTTCTTGTGTAATTTGGTACTCTTCCACTGACATTATTTTTGATAAGTTTTCAGTGAATGGTGGGTACATGGATCAGCTGAAGGTCCAGGTGCATCTCTCTCTTACTGTATCAGATCTGTTGGATTTTTTCCTGTTTCTTAAGCACATCACTTTCAGGTACTCTTCTTCTGCTGTAGACAGATTTTTAAAGACTGTCACTTATTCTTTTGTCCTCCACTTCTCCAGTTTCCTCAAATGTAAGGACACACTACACACCATACCAAGATATCCTAAGTTTTAAGCTACTTGAAAAATAAAGTTGGGTGGCTCCAAGGTTATTATCGTTAACGAAAACTAACGAAATAACGAAAACTAGAAGTGAAAAAACATTTTCGTTAACGGAAATAAAAATAAAAACAAAAAAAGGAAAACTAACTAAAACTGTAAGGAGTGTTCACAAAACGAACTAAAATTAACTGAATTTATAGCAAAAATGTGTTTTTTACTTGTTTTAGGGTGAGGGCCTGAACAAAGGACTGTGACCTATTCAGCATAGCACCTTGCTGCTTCAAGTAGATGCAACAGCGTCTAAAACAAATTTCTCAGTACCTTTCCGATAGACGAGACGGCTGATGACAACAATTGTGATCCTGTCATCTTGTCGCTGGGAGGGGTCTGGTGTGAAGTCTGTAGGATCGACAGCGTTGGGAATAACGGACACTATCTCTGGGTCGAGTGCTGCGCGTAGAACTGTGTTCTCCTTACTTGTGTAGGACACACACACAATGTGGTTGGTGTCACACAGCGACACAGTCAGGAGCTTGTTGGTCAGGACAGAGCTGAGGTCAGCAAAGCCAAAGAGCGAGTGGTCAGTGAAAACCTGCAAATGACAAACACTCTTTAGCGATTTAAACAGCATCATGTTAGAAACACGGGAAATTACCTGAATCACCTACTGTGTTAAGACCCATGGTCTTAGCGTGGAACAATGCATCATGGGCCATGGCAGAAAAGGAGCTGTGTGCATGCACGACGGTGATGCGCTCCCTGACAAACACACAGCGCATCAGCGGGAGACTGTGGAAGCAGGTGGTGGCTGTGGACTGGTTGTACATCACTTGCAGGGGCAGGTAGTATACCTTCAGGCCATTGGTCAGGTACCGGACACCCTTCCTCCTGCCGTAGGCGTGAGTGACGATTACCACCTTGTGCCCCTTTTCAATCAGGCACTGGGAGAGTTGGTAAATGTGACTTTCTACTCCTCCCATGTTTGGATAGAAAAAGTCAGACACCATGCAGATGTTGTGCTTCCTGCTGTGGACCCTGGCAGCCTGTGCAGAAACTCCAGAGTTTCTCTGAGATGAAGGGTTATTCCCTGCTGCCACTTTCCGGCGCTGACCCATGGTATGCTTCTTGAGTGTCTCTGTACTTGATCAGCGCTTAAAGAAATAGTTAATAGTTAACAATAAGTATAATTCTAATGGATTATGTGTTGTATGGGTTTTGACTTTTTACATGTGAAGGGCACCAGCGTCCTGTGACCTTGAATTGGATAAGTTGTTAAGAAAACGGATAGAGGGGTCAATTGATAATATATTTTTTATAAGCATTCTATTGTATAGTCTACTGATATTTATAATTTTTTTAAACATCATGGTACTTTCAAAGCCTAAAGTAATATGGGCATTCTGACACTGGTCTTTGACCTGCAAGTGTTGCTGTGGCTTTAACTTCTTGAGTTTTTATCCTCTTCTACCTGCACCTTGGAAACACTTGTAAGGGCAGAAAACTTTGCTGGGTCCACCTGTCCTGAAATGTGATTCCATTGTTTTTATTAGAAACACACAAAAATCTCACCACTACACGTCGACACCTCTCTGACAGTGTCAACAAAGCCGCACATTAAAACTTTGCAGCCGATTTGTAGCTGAGATGTTCAATTTTATTTAACATTTAAAAAGTAGGAATAAAGAAGAAACCTTTTGACCCTTTGCCTTGGTCATTGTCATCCAAAGTAACCTTTGCAGCGCAGTCTGAATAGGCTTGTATCCATATCATCACATACATGTTTGCACAGTGTGTGGAGGTTCGATATCAGCTCACAGACAACCCCAAACCGAGAGTACTGCCATGTCTATAAGTTCCCTACTTCTACCCATTAACACAAACCGAAATAAAACACTTGAACGGATTTGCTGATGTGAGGTAGCAAACTCCTCTAAGCTCCAGTGCATTTAGGCTTTACACTTGTTCGCATTATGTATAAACGTCATGGAGACAAACACCTCTTCGCATTTAACCTTAACAAGCATCGCAGCGAACCGCTTTCACAGTCCAACTTGCCTTACCGTGGGTGGAAAGTCAGTCTTTTTCCAGATTTGATTTCATTTCTACATGCTAGCCCCGAGCTAGCCACTTAGCCGCCTGTGTTACTTCCTGGTGTTTTCTACGTCACTGGGAACGTGGTAGTTGACGTATGCTGCAAGGAAATGAAACTATATGTGACATTTAAACTTTGAGGGTTTTGTTTTTTTTTTTACAAGTAAAATAAAACCAAAGGTTAAGATTCGTTTTTCTTTCATACTTACTTGTTATAAACGTCTTTAAGTGCGAATGCTAAATCCAGAAATTATCACCATGCATGTTTCTTGTGCTTTGTTGCTGTTGTTGTTTTAATATTGTTAAAGTCACACAATAAAGTGAAGTAATGGGGACGATTTACTTACACACTTTTATTCCACAGCATTATCAACTGGTAACTTAAATTACGGCTGTTTATAGACTAAGCCTTTACAATTAAGGTTTTGCAATATTTTCCTTAAATATATAAAATTCTGTGAAATACAAAACACTGATACAAATGACAGACTGAAGCAGTGATCCAAAACCAGGTTGGTATGTGAAGAATCAGGAAAAATCTAGTAACGAGTGGCTTAAAAAGAAAAGAATAAACATGTTGTAATGGCACAGTAGAAAGTTCAGCCCTCATCTCGACTCACTGGCTGTGGCAGAACCTCAAAAGAGTCACACATGAATGACTGCAAACCTCAGTGAATGGAAACAGACGGTCAAATATTTCTCCACAGTGATGTGAAAGACTGATAAAGCCACAATAGTAAAACTGGCTATACAATCTTTTGAATCATAGTGTGTACTTGATTTAATACACATGCTTTTGTATTTGGCTTATTTTTTAATCAATAAAAAATGACACTGAGGTAATATCTGAGGTTTTATTTACTTCATTTTTCATTTTTCATTCAAATTATGTCCTGTGTTGCATGACTGTACATTAGTTACAGCAGAGATCTACTGCATGTTGTTACTTTGTCACAACAAAAACATTTTTGTTGATACTGCAGTTTTGCATCACTCTATGTGATGGAGTACTGAAAGTGTGCTACACTTGACAAAAAAAAAACAACAACGCAAAAACAGGATCTGTGTTCTTCTTGAAGCATGTGGTGTGCAAGTGTTCATGGTTCTTTAAAGAGAAATGAAATATCTGACAAGGAAATAAAAGTTACCAATCATGCAGTTTAAAAACACTTTATTGCTGAACAAAATGTTTTACTCTCTCTCTCTCTCTTTTTTTTTAGATATAATTTTCTTTTTGGTGCAGAAAAGGGCCACACATTTACATTTCATTACACTTCTCCATTCGTCAAATTTTGGCATACTGTCCTGACTGCAGTCACAGATTCAAGGCTGCTGACCTAATTCCCAAAAAGGGACCAGAGCTGCATGGCTACGTAGTACAGTGATGTTTCACAGTTAAGCAACATCATTTGCAAATTTCTTACTTGGCTCCTGAATATTTTTTCCTATTAACTATACATTATACACACATTACCCTAAACCTACTTATTTAAGTTAGGTTAAAAAAAAACAAAAACAAAAAACAAAACCTGGCATCTGATATATACAGTAGCTTGCAAAAGTATTCGGCCCCCTTGAACTTTTCCACATTTTGTCACATTACAGCCACAAACATGAATCAATTTTATTGGAATTCCACGTGAAAGACCAACACAAAGTGGTGTACACGTGAGAAGTGGAATGAAAATCATACATGAGTCGAAACATTTTTTACAAATAAATAACTGAAAAGTGGGGTGTGCGTAATTATTCAGCCCCCTGAGTCAATACTTTGTAGAACCACCTTTTGCTGCAATTCCAGCTGCCAGTCTTTTAGGGTCTGTCTCTACCAGCTTTGCACATCTAGAGACTGACATTCTTGCCCATTCTTCTTTGCAAAACAGCTCCAGCTCAGTCAGATTAGATGGACAGCGTTTGTGAACAGCAGTTTTCAGATCTTGCCACAGATTCTCGATTGGATTTAGATCTGGACTTTGACTGGGCCATTCTAACACATGGATATGTTTTGTTTTAAACCGTTCCATTGTTGTCCTGGCTTTATGTTTAGGGTCGTTGTCCTGCTGGAAGGTGAACCTCCGCCCCAGTCTCAAGTCTTTTGCACTCCAAGAGGTTTTCTTCCAAGATTGCCCTGTATTTGGCTCCATCCATCTTCCCATCAACTCTGACCAGCTTCCCTGTCCCTGCTGAAGAGAAGCACCCCCAGAGCATGATGCTGCCACCACCATATTTGACAGTGGGGATGGTGTGTTCAGAGTGATGTGCAGTGTTAGTTTTCCGCCACACATAGCGTTTTGCACTTTGGCCAAAAAGTTCCATTCTGGTCTCATCTGACCAGAGCACTGTCTTCCACATGTTTGCTGTGTCCCCCACATAGCTTGTGGCAAACTGCAAACGGGACTTCTTATGGTTTTCTGTTAACAATGGCTTTCTTCTTGCCACTCTTCCATAAAGGCCAACTTTGTGCAGTGCATGACTAATAGTTGTCCTATGGACAGATTCCACCACCTGAGCTGTAGATCTCTGCAGCTCGTCCAGAGTCACCATGGACCTCTTGACTGCATTTCTGATCAGCGCTCTCCTTGTTCGGCCTGTGAGTTTAGGTGGACGGCCTTGTCTTGGTAGGTTTACAGTTGTGCCATACTCCTTCCATTTCTGAATGATCGCTTGAACAGTGCTCCGTGGGATGTTCAAGGCTTTTGCAAAGAAGAATGGGCAAGGATTTCAGTCTCTAGATGTGCAAAGCTGGTAGAGACATACCCTAAAAGACTGGCAGCTGTAATTGCAGCAAAAGGTGGTTCTACAAAGTATTGACTCAGGGGGCTGAATAATTACGCACACCCCACAGTTATTTATTTGTAAAAAATGTTTGGAATCATGTATGACTTTTGTTCCACTTCTCACGTGTACACCACTTTGTGTTGGTCTTTCACGTGGAATTCCAATAAAATTGATTCATGTTTGTGGCTGTAATGTGACAAAATGTGGAAAAGTTCAAGGGGGCCAAATACTTTTGCAAGCTACTGTATAGCTCAGACTTTACTCTTTACAAGGAAATCTGATAAATGGCATACAGAGAATCGACTCCTCCCCCTTTAGCTTCCAAAATAGATGTACTTTCCATGAGCAGGAACAAAAGATGAAAACTAGATTTCACAAACAGCCACTATTGCATCAGCAGTGATTAATCACCTCCTTTGGTTCAGAATAAAGTACATTCACATCCTCACTTAAAGCTCGTCTGAGTTTGTTTTTGTCTGAGAGAAGTCACCATTTTGCACATTTCTGTCACTGGGAAATCCTTCACAAAGAGAAAATGAAAGATTAAATTATTGGAGAGACACAGTAACAAAGTCAAATGTCAACAAACACTAGAAAAACTGTTAGTGGCTGATAAAAAGCTGCAGCAAGAGCAACAGAGTCACTCTGGTTTAACCAGTAATGCAATAAATGTAGCATAAGGAAACTCACTGTGAGACGTTCCACGACAGTACCAAATCAGCAAAAATCCAAGCGCCAACACAACAGGGACCCCTTTAAATAATATCCTGAAAAGGGGGTCCAGGCTGGTTAATGAATATAGATAATTCCCTGGAAAAAGAAAAAAAAATACAATAACTGATATTATGAAATGTTCCACAGTTGTGTGTATCATGACTATTACCGTCTTTGCATTTAATGTCACAGCACATTTATTGTAGTAGAAGTACCAGGCAACCCCTAAGATCCATCTTTGCTGAAATAACAATTTAAAATGAATGATTACCAGATGGACATGTGACACTGACTTGACATGTAGGCTCTGAGAGGAAGTTGCTTTCAGTCTCGAGTCTACTGTGAAAATAGTGGACGTCAGTTTCTTTATTCTTTATTCTATCTTTATATTGTTTTCTTTCATTGAAGAGTGTGGAAAGAGTGAATAAATGAAAGAATGCAGGAAATAAGTTATTCAGTTATGTAAATGATAATAAATCAAGTAAAATAAAAGTTTGTTGTGATTTCATATCAACTGTGTTTGAGTTAATGCCATCAGTCTGCTGTAAGTTGCCAGTTACTGTTTCACTTCTGGAGTTTATTTCTTTGACACTACAGAGCTGGTTTGTTATATTTATGTAGGTTATAGTGAGTATAATAAACTAAGTAAGTAACTAATAGTTAAAGCTGTACTAGTTGTTTTCACCTAGTTCTTGTGTAATGTTTAGCTTAGTACATTCCTCCCAGTGAAATATTAACAATCAGCATATTTCACAACTGTACATTTCAAACAATCATCCGGCAACTCCACATTTTTCATTTACCAT